CAGCACCACTGTTACACTCCAAGGGTGTGGTGAATAATTTTTTGGTAAGTCACAAAGAACCCAAGGGTAACATCTAAGGACCTACAGGCCACTTTTGCACTGAGTAATGTCAATGTTCATGAGCCCACTATCAAGCAAACACTGACCACTGACCAATTGTATGCATGGCAGGATAGCAAGGAGGAAGCCACTACTCTCCAAAAAGAACACTGCTGCCTGTTTGAAGTTTCAGACCACATCAATAAGCACGACATCTATTGGAAGAATGCTCTGTGGACAGATGAATCCAAAATAGAACTTTTTTGTTTTAAATGAAAAGCATTATGTTTGGCAAAAAGCAAATACTGCGTTCCAACATAAGAACCTCATCCCAACCGTGAAGCATGGGGTGGCAGTATCATGGTTTGGGGGTTGAAGTTGTTGCTGCTCAAGGAGGCCACACCAGTTACTGAAAGCAAAGGTTCACATACGTTTTCCGACAGAGATATTTAATGTTGGATAAGTTTGTTCAACAAATAAATGTAAAAACTAATATGTTTTTGTGTCATTTGTTTAACAGGGTTCTCTTCAAATAGTTTTAGGACTTTAGATCTGATCACATTTCAGGTCAAATTTATGCAGAAATACAGAAAATTGCAAAGGGTTCACAAACTTTCTAGTGACACTGTAGATACTTCAGTTACTTTCCACAAGGCAAACAAATCCCTATCTAGATTGTACCTCACCTCTCACAAGTCAGTTTTGCAGACATATGTAAAATGGTTGTTCACTGGCAATTCACAGGTACACTGTTGATGGCACCAGTTGAAATAATCAAACAGGTTCCCTGAGAAGGCACAGATCTCAAAGCACGCCATGGTACAGTTTTGTGTTTTCTTGATGCAAATGTCTTCACATTTACAGTCAGCATGTTATAAGGATTTAAACTAAAAAGTAACAGCTTGGCACAATAACTGCTAAGCAGTGAATGCTTATCAAGAAACTTCCTTGAATATTTTCTTCTGCCCAAGGCCACTCGACATATTGTGTATCTTTGGATCCTTCACTTTGACCTGGACTTCAGTCATTCTCCATCTTGCTGCTCTTTTGGTTCTGTATCTGAGGAAGCACTTGTTTCTAGATCCTGTTGCTGTTGCTGTTTTTGCCACATTGCTGAGTACAGTCCGTGCATGGCCAGCAGCTCCTCGTGCCTGCAAAACCAATTAACAGGCAGTGAGCTTCACACTGCAGGTCTGAATATTAAATTGAAATTCTTGGTTTCTAGAGATCACCTAAGGGTGAAGGGGTGATGGGCCTATTAGGGCCATTGGGCCTTTTCTGTTAAATCTGTTCCTGCTAAGAGTCGGTTTGGGGGGGGTCTAAGGTCAAATCCACTGTGACTGTAATTAATCTGGAGGATAAAAAAATGCAGGCAAGTTTCAGAAAGATTTTCCTGCTTTAACTGTGAGCTCCAATATTCACGGTTTGAATTATTACAGGACAGCTTTCCTTGTAGTTACCTGTTCATACAGGTGACATCTAGCCTGGGGACTTTTTTAATTAAACCTTCCTTCCTAAAAGCATTACCCTTTCACCTTTTTTCTTTATTTCCTGTATGTGTGTGTATGTGTGAGAGAAGATGAATGAATGTGTGAGTGTATTCTGATATGCAGTCCTTGTGGCTTAAAAGCCTGTGTGTGTTTACATCGCAGTGTCAGTCAGGGTTGAATGTGCAAGGTATGAGTTTATATATGAGAATGCCTGTGTTTTTAGGGGGTGGCTGACGAATCATATATCAAAGGGCAGAATGGGACAAGACTGTGTGCAACAGTCTGCATGGGGCTTGCTGGGTAGAGTCAATGAAAAACGCCATTAGCAAGGGAGTGTGTGTAGTGCCTTCAGTGTTATCCGTCGATCAGTAGCCTTTACCTCAGGGCTGTCTGAGTTTGTGCTCATCTTCTCTAACACAGGATATGGCCTCTGAGTGTCCGAGCAGCCCACACCCTACATGATCTGGGCCTCAGAACATGCCCACCTGAGGGCTGCGAGCGCACGCACGCACGCACGCACGCACGCACACGCACACACACACACACACACACACACACACACACACACACACACACACACACACACACACACACACACACACCTCCCCGACTAATGCTTCACTTAGTTCAGCCCACTGAACCATAACTTTGGCTGTCCCAACATGTCTTCCATGGTTTATTTCCTCAGCAAGTCAAAGGGATTTCAGTCGAGCAGGAAAGAGACAGTTTCACACTTCTACTCTTTATACTGATAAGGCTATTATACTAACTGTAAACAACTTGGAACATATAAATTCACCAACCTTCCACGCTCCACAATCTGGCCTTCATGCAGAACCAGAATCAGGTTTGATGCAATTATAGTGGATAACCTGCAAACAGAGTAGTCAAAACAATGGCCTTTTTAAAAATATGGTAATACTGCTCATTGAATGTACAAAGAAAAATCTGTAGAAAAACTTCGGAGAACAAATTATCTAGCACTCCATATGGAGAACCGTCTATAAGCTTCAAGTGCGGCATTATACACAGAACATAGATCACTTATGCATTAATTGGAGTCCATCTATTCTCATGCAAATACCATCAACTCCTCTGCCCTGCACGAACACAAAGAGAAACAAATGATCTCATGCATTGTTTGGATGAACACTTAGCTAAACACAGTGGTCCATAACACTTGCACGCGCACGTACAAACACTCACACACACACCGCAGTGCCTTTCAGTTCACACCCCACCCTTCTGCGGGTCATCTTCTCACACAGTCACCCTTCATCTTCAAACAAAAGCGGCAAGACTTCTTTATTGATTGTCGCCCCCCACAACCACCACCCCAAAACAGATCAAAGTGGCACCACAGTCTCAGAGGCTGGACGGGATCAAAGCATGCAGACTCTGATCACGATGTGTTTACAATTTTCTGAGGGAAGAAAAAAGTGAGAAAGAGGGAAAAGAATATTGTGAAGATGAAAAAGGACAGAAGAGGCTGACTGATAGTAAGAAAATGGCAAGAAAAAGAGAAGGGGGAGAGAAAAGGAGACGAAAGGAGGACAGGCAGAACAAGAGAATGGCCAGAGATGGATAAAGAGAGACAGAGAGGGAGAGGTAGAGGATATGAGAAAGAGGAAGTGAGAAAGGCAGTGTGTTAATGAGTTCAAGCATCTAATAAAATCCAAATATAAGCTAATTCCTTGGTAAATATTTCCAGACACAAATTAAGGGGGTGTCAGAGGGAACATTGGTAAGCCATCTTATTTTTCCACAACTATTTGTATGATTCCCAACATTACACCCCTGATACTGATGGATACCAACTTACTTTTGAGGGTTTTATGTTCTATACACCTCCTTAAATCCACCAGACAGTGGTGTCATTTTGAGGCCACTGGGTTTTAGGACGAACAGATCAATTTAATTAGTGACTGAGATCTTTCCCAGATGGCCACATTGAGGTCTATATCAATACTTGATGTTATCAAAGGGATCAGGATTTAGGGAAGTTTATGGAAGGATTTTTCTTGCTTTTATGTCCTGGCCCCTAGAGGGCTTGGGGTGAGTGGGGTTACAGCAACACTTGATCACATTCAAATGCATCTTAAATGTAAGCACCTTGTACTCTGAGCACACATGACAAGGATTATTAATAATCTTCTTGAAGTTGATTGCCATAGCTAAATGAGAAGAAGAATACCTGTGTGCCACCACAATAGTCGTCCTGCTGGCACACACTCTGGTAAGCGAGGCCTGTATATTGCGCTCTGTTTGTGTGTCTAAAGCAGAAGTGGCCTAGAAGCAGAAGGTATAATTAAGTGAGAGAGCTTTCTGCTTAGAGCTTGCAGATCTTAATGATAATAATTAGGTGTCAGATATAAACACATGTATCTGTAACTAGCTTGCACTTTTTTTTCCACTATTTTATTAATGTATGAATATGAAGAGAGGCATTTCTTTGAGCTGAAAAGACATTACTCACCTCGTCCAGCAGGATGATTCTGGGGGCTTTGAGGATGGTGCGAGCAATGGCCACTCTCTGCTTCTCACCCCCACTTAGCTTGAGGCCCCTCTCGCCCACCTGAGTGTCATATCCTGAGATAGAATCACAGATACCTATTCCTCATACACACATTAACAAATACCTACTTTTCTAAAGTGATGACTCCTTCACAGCTGTTATTTTAACATGGACCTAAACCAGTCAGCATTTAGGCGCATTATGTTTCTACAAGCAATAAGGGTCCCTGGAGGACTAGTGGTTAGGCCATGGCGCACTCACCGCTGTGGCCTGGGTTCGATTCAGCACTGGGAGTGCACACGAGAGTGCACTCCTAGTGCCGGTCCCAAGCCTGGATAAAATTGGGGAGGGTTGCGTCTGTAAACTGTGCCAAATCAAATATGCCGACCAAGCTGTGAGCATTTCCAAAAATTTCAGCACATTTTTAAAGAAGTAAGAAATACCATCTAGAGTGTTTTGAAGCAAAAATAACCATTAGTCAAAATGCTATATTTAAATACAATCTAAAAAATATTTTAACATTCATAAAATTTGTGAGAGGTTGCAGGCATATTTAAAAATATATAATTGGAAATTATCTTGATACTTATTTCAAATAAGACTATTCTGATTCTCTTGTGGTGAAGAGACGCACCATCTGGAAGGGACAGGATCTTATGGTGGATGTCGGCAGCCAGTGCAGCCTCTTCCACTTCCTGGTCAGTGGCACTGATCCGTCCATAACGGATGTTCTCCCGGATGTTGTCATTAAAGAGAACAGTATCCTGAGGTACCACCCCAATGTAAGAACGGAGAGAGCTCTGTTTCACCTATGCACAAAAACACAAATACAAGCCATCTACAAGAGAGTGTACACAGACAATACTGACTAGAAAAATGAAAATATAACAAAGGCCTTCTATAGCAAAGGACTTTATTTATGTGAATTTTATTTCCTATGGATAGAGGGTTAGTTA